ATAATTATGCAACAAGATTAATCGCAGCGTTTAATTACATGTATCATACGATAAAATCTAATCTCATTATGGTTATAAGATAGCGGTTTTATTGTTTTTGATTGTCAATAGATGGCGTTAGTGTTCGAACATGATGATCACACTATTTTTTATATTACTGAATGTTATTCCTGTTTTTTGTTATAGGTATATTATCGCTTCATTATCATCAGTCTTTTTTATGTCCCCACTATAGAGGCGCAGGCCTTCTTATGGATGGTTAAGGAGGATGGGCCATGACCCTGGCCTAATACAGATTGGGAGGTATTAACGACTGCAAATGTAACCGGTACCTACCGCTTAGCGTGCTTTCTGAAGCACGGTCGAGATAATAATTATTTTTTTTATCACCCATCCCTGTTGCTTAACAACAATGATCTCCGGCCACGGTCCGAGAGCGTATCCATTACCCGTCGAGGTACTAAAACATTGCTTACAACATAATATTATTTAGAAAACTTATTTTTAAAAGGTATATTTTCATATAGAAAAATCATCTTAGGTTTTCATTATATTATTATTAGTTTTATAAGATTTCCGTTATAGATATTTTTTTCTGACTTAACAACAAAACAACGGATACGGAATATAACAGAAAAATAGTAAAATATATGTCCATTCTTCTGACGCTATTCAAAGGTCATGTCGTGTTACTTATTAGAAACAGCGGGGGTTACCTAATGGCCGGAAAGGTCGACGTATGTTGTTGACAGCCCCGTTTTCAGTGTTACATAATATACAACCTTCATAGAGCGGCCAACAGAGTGAATAAAACTTCATTTTATCCTTTCAAACTAACATGTGTCATCTTTAGCATCTTCGATGGGACTCCAATCTCGTATATTCGTTAGTACACTCTTTTTGGAACCTCAATTTACCGAAGTCAGTAAAAAGTTGTTCGTAGATGCTGGTTCCCTTAGACTGTCCAGAACTACGCGTGTATTTGACGTTCGTTATACATTACTCGTTGGTAAAGGTTAGGGTTACAAATAAGTAAAATGCTTGCAGTATTGTACCTGAAATCGCATCTAAATCAGCGGCAAACTTGCCCTTTTCCGTTAAGGTCACTACTAAAATATCTATTACACAGGTTCTTGTTCTTTATATTACTAATCCTTGATCGCTTATGCTTGCTATCCAGAACTCATCGTGGGCGTTTTTAGTAAACTTTAGCTGCTTGACAATTTTGACATCGGATTCTTATCTGCCTAGTACAAAGATATAAAACTATATGTAAGTCTGTTTGCCGTGGTATGTTCTATGCTATGTGCAATAAACTATATTTAATTTAGATTTATAAAATATTTCTCCCTTATTTTAAATTACAATCAACATTAAGATTTTCGCTTTGAAAGCAACAATTATATACTCGTACTTTAGATTTTATGTGTAGGATTATCAGGAACGAGAGGCGAATAATTACGAGTGACTATTAGTAACCGTAGCTTGCGTTCTTAGCGAGCAGATTAACACTACTGGAGATTAGATTCATAATAAAATTTACCTGTCCAATGTTTATGATTGTATTCTTTTGTTTCAATTTTTTTGATGTTGTCATGGATATAACTACCCTTTAATTTAGCCGTTCTACTGTATGACCAATTTATGATATACCTATTAGCTGTTATCCGCGTCTTTGTCCTCATAGGCAAAAGCTTATACTACTATTCAGCCAACCAACCAACTATTTCCACACAAAAATAATCCCTATAACGACGTTCCCTTATGACGTAAAAGCAGAGCAAACAAATACACTTTCATTTATATTAGTATGGATTACGTGTGACTGCAATTTCTTGGCTACGTCTCTCATTAAATCATTACCAGAGAGAGTCTTGAACATTACAGAATTTTCAAGGAAAACAATTACACAAATTATTATGAATTATTTATCTTGTTCTCGTGTGAGCAAAGTACTGGTTTGCTTACATTGTACATGTTCAAGATGCAATCTCGAGAGGAGCGTAATTAAGAAGTTTTATTTAAAAATATATCATATTTTTTACAGATTTCGTATCCGGTATTTCTTTTTTGTTGTATGAATGCCCGTTCTGTGTTATCCTCATTCTTTGTGAACTGATTTTAATGATTTTACTTTTAAAAAGATATAAATCAGACTCAGAATCCATGATTTCAACACCATATTTCTACCAACTTTAAAATAAGTTTCTTGATTTGATAACCACTTTTTTCGTTTTAATTTTTTTAATACAGCTTTATACATAAAATGAAAACAAAAATCGATGATACCGGAATGGAATCTCAATCCAAAAGATACCTTATCGTAAACATCGCCGTAAATGTACTCTCATTACTTAGCGACAAGAATGTACCACTATCATCTTGTAAATCCTAATCTAATGCCGAGTAAATCCACATAACATAAACCCAGGTAAAGCTGGTGTTTTGCCGTGATTATTTCACAAAGTGACCCAGTTTCATAAGAACTATATAGTATGACTATACTCCACCTCACATACCAGTCTTGGCTGGCCGAGACAACTATAATTTATTCCCAATTCGCCTGGAGAAATTGAACTGGCAGTAAAGGTTCCTACTGTTACAGATAAATCACAAATTGTGGGGTATGCGCCGTTGGATAGACCATTTATGAATGTTGAAGAATATGCTTCATGTCTGTATATTGTTAAAGTTGAAGTGTGATTATAATCAGATCAGAATATATATTATAATCAGAATAAAAATTACAGATCAATGCTCCGTTAGTTCGGTAAAAGGACTGAAGGGTGAAAGAATGACAAAATTGATATAAAACGCGAAAGATATCGAAGCTGCGGAAGGTTGAGGCTCACCTTTCACTATTTTGAAGATGATGGTGAAGCAGCAAAAAGTATGAAAAGAGTAATTAACGAGGTTAAAAGATGTATGTAAGGACCGTGTCTTATGACATTGAAAGCTTTTAGATGAGTCACTTACCCCGTGATCATAATTGTTTATATTATTTTTTCTATGATGTTTTCATGTTTAATAATAAGATAGAAAGACTAATGGTCTTTTCTCTTCCATTAAACATCGTTTTTAGTATGTTTTATGGATTTATATTAATCTAGTAATCATCTTTGATGGTTCTTTTTTTATAACGAAATTATGTTACTTATATTATATTTTCTTTGCTTGCTTGTTTTCTTTTACTTATAACGCGACGTCTTGATCAGTTTTAGTTTATTTTTATTTAGGTTCCAGTTTTTGTAGTACAAATAAAATATTTCCGATAATTCCCCTATTCGCTATGTTGTAGACATTTCCAACTCAATTGAGCTTCATTAGTTGTTATAATGCTTGCATGTCAAATTATATTTTGACACAAGTAAAAAGTTTGATAAAATATTATTATAAATTTTATAAAATATATCAAAATTTTACAGTTTTGTTTTGTTAAAGTTTATTTTAACTCTCTACAGCTATTATACAGCCGAATTGATTCACTGAAACTTTAAACCTACCACCTACTCAATGCTAATAAAGACAGTGTCACATAAAAGCTGTAAAGTTTTTACGATACTAGTTTACAACGGTACGGCGTAATCTCGTGACAAATGCGGGGAGATATCGGCAGACAATAGCAACAAATTGGTACCCTACGGCTGTTTGACTCGAACTATACAGTTACTGAAATACAACTTATTCTTATAGGACGTCTCCGGTTTCTAAATAAAATATAAATAAGTAAGTTCAACCATTTTCTGAAAAGTATTCTTATGAAAAGACTTAAATGGAACTTTATAATTATATAAACTTCTTGTCAAAAGTATCCTGATGTAGGTATCCCAAAGGAGTAGCATAACGTGTCAAAAACATATCGTATCTATTTTCAGCAAAATAATTTAATACTTTTATTATTGTAAACCTTTATTTTACTGTAGCAGAAACACTATTCACATATTAACTGAATGACAAATTTATGTGGGACTCGTAGAACTTGAGTTGATAATGAAGAAAAAAATGACTTTTATCTTCGTACACACTTCATTAATGAAATAGTATACCTATTTTCATATGTCATTTAACGGACACAAATTGTGTCAGGTTTTGAATTTTTAAACGCCATTATAAAACTTGAGACGGCTTGTAACGAGTAATACCTATGCATGGCGTTATAACTGAGATAAGATTACAACAACTTTTCTTTCAATTCAAAAACATCATTTTGTAGTAATATTTATTTTAAGTACAGTTTTGATTTATGAATGATATTTATAGTATTCTTAACAAATACCGCCACCGTTTGGCATTGGTTGTGTGACACGGTAATTACCAATGTATAATTTTTGTCCTTACAAATTTCATCAAATTTATCACTGGACGAAAGTGATTTCATTTGAGTTGAGTTTTTCAAAAGGCAAATATTGTTTTGTGTTTATTATATTCAGAACGTGGATGAGAAACAATAATTAAAAAGTTACGATTGAAATTGAAATTCGAATAAATTAGAACGGTGTTTGTCCGGATTTATTGGAAAATATTTTTGACGGAGTATGGCAATTTGAATTTGTAATCGACTGAAAGGGATTTTTAAATAGTTTGTTGGTATTATTGTACTGGAAAATTGTTAAAACTCGGGGCTTAACTTTTATTAATTTTAATTGAGTAATTTTATTGTGAACCCACATAGAAAAAGTATTTGGAATCGCCAGTAACATACGAATATTTATATTATTTGATTGTAAAAAAAATAGGTTTCTAGTCTAGGTAGTCTAAAATAGGTGTCTTGCTTTGAAGTTTAATTTCTCCACCCAATGTACAAAAAAAAATATTAAAAAAGATTTTTATTTATTTATTTTGAATTGATTTTAAACTTCTACAGATAAAAAGCAATAATAGTTACTTAATTAATTTCCCTTTGCATTTTCAAAAACTTACCTACAAAGATTTGTTTGACACTAGTACGATATCTCGTATTCACTTATTTCTACTTATTGTATTATGATGAATTGTTTCAGGTATCGGGTGCGGTGGAACTGTCCGATCCAGCAAATGCTGAACAGTTATTAGCACATCTACAGAATACGGTAAGTGCCAGTGTGGAAATTGGAGAAGGCCACAGATTGCTTTTTTAACTATTTAAAGTTCGAATGGGAAAAGTTTTGATGTCTGTTTATAGGGTAAATTGATAAATATGTTAATTATTATAATAGGGCTTTTTTGTAGCACTTATAAAAAAACGTAATATTTTGAGATTAAGATTTGCCCGTGGACTCTTGATCTTGATTAAATAATTACAATACCCCGGAGATAAATGGTCTTGTTTACCTACGTAATTTTTTTTATTTTATTTTTTATATTAATCAGATAAAGAGAGTAAATTATTTATTACTATGTTGAAAAAAATTATTAAATGATTGCAATGCAGTCGGTATAAGAGATGAAAAAAAATTAAAGCAATAAAATCTATCAAGCGACCTAGTTCTATAATCTTGATCACTGTTTGTTTGACTTCCGTTTCAAACATAAATTGCATCACTTATTTGATATCATAGTTACTTGACATGACATTTAATTTATCCATACAAGTAATTTAATTGTGATATTAATTTCCTTAATGAAATTTTATCTACATTGCCAACAAGCAATATGGTTAAATTTAAAGATTAACGGAACCTTATTGATGTGTAAGTGGAAAATATTAAATTCCTTATAAGCGTAGTGTGATTTTACCCGATAATTGGACAAAATTTGTAGCATAAATGAATCCACAAAAATTACTTATGGAGGCGTTTCCAAAGAGTGTGGTCATTAAATTGCGAGTATTGGCAGGCTCCTGATGGTTCGGCGCGAGATATGGTTGATGTAAAAGCCTCTTTGGGACTGGAAATTGCCGATATTACCTTCCATTACGATTATGGGCCGTGAACAAGAAAGCGGTATGCGACTGCGGGTCACACCGTCTCTCACGGATTCCACTTAATTTTCACACTATTTTCTGACAGTTCTTTGCTTTGAACCTTTTACAAGACAAAGCTTTACACGCGACTGTCTTGTGATTTTTATATTTATTTATTTATTATAATTCCTGAGAGGCAGAGCAAAATAGCAATCATATTATTGAGGGTCCAACTTTATAATTTTAGAGATGCAGCCGGGACCAGCAGCTTAAGGTTTAATGTGCCTTGCGAAGAAAGGAGGAGCTAGAGATAATAAAATTTTTGGTCACCCATCTTATGACCGGCCCTCGTGAAATTTACTTATCATCCACATTGAAATCGAACGCCCTAACCATTACGTCATCAAGCTCCTTTATCTACCGTTCTACGGTCACCGAATATTAAAATCATTATTTTCTCATACACTAAAGTTTTTTTGCTCAGATCCCAAGATAAGTAGCTAAAGCCACAACCACAACACCCAGAAAGTTCATTATCTACATTGACCCTACCAGGAATCGAACCTTCAGAGATGGCAACATCTTGAAACCACGTCATGAGGTCACATCACTACAGTAAAGATTTAGTCGAAAAACACTAAAACAGATTTTTGATAGTATTGTTGCTATAGGATTTTGATAGTATTGTAGGATTAGTCTAATATTTTCTAATACCAATCGATAATAAGATGACGGTGAAAAATGATAGATAGATAGCGAGTTAAAATATGTCAAAGTGTTCCACATTTTTAAATTGACAGACAAGGGCATTATTTTAGTAGGACGCTAGGTAATACGCATAATAGCAATCTAGTTAGTCAGCAACTTATGTATTTGACAGGCTAAGGAGGACTACCGTTTGTTATTTGACGTGCATAGCTATTTGACATGTTGTTGACGTATTTAGTGAATGTAGCAGATAATAGAATAATATAGTATAATGCTTTCGGTTCGTCATATTTTTTTTTACTTTATCTCTAAAGGATAAACGGAACCGTTATGGGATGGCCGTTCAAATGACTTATATATGTAAGTACGTGACTTTAAAACAGCCTGAAACTCATCATGGAGTGTAGCTCTGTTAAATTATATAGCTTCAAAGGAATAAAACTCTTATTACCTTTGGTAGTAGGTATTATTTGATTGAAGCTTTATGCTGTGATAGCGCTGTACTAAACGTCAAGTTTGAGGCTGTTTTAATATCTGAATAGAGCTAGAAAAAAAACTGAGATATCACGCTATTTTATATGTCAAACAAAATAGCCATAATAAAAAAAAAGTTTATTTCGATTTATCTACACCCGGCAATTATGGCGAATTACAAATCAAAAATTGTGTTTAATTATTTACTTGGAAACTATTTCGATAAAAACAGCCTGATGTGTTGGAATTTAGTGAGTATTTATTGGAAAACGCAATATCTTAAGTGCGATTTTGCGCGAGCTAGCGATGCCTAAAGGCATTTGCGGGTTGGCGCGTTAGCTATTAGCGGCAATTTTTGTTAGAAATGGGCTGATGAGGTTCATATCTTATCTTACTTTATGATTTCTCACTTTTTTGGGGTAGGTATAGCTGTGTAAATAAATAAATAAATAAATAAAATAAATAAATATAAATAAATAGTTATTCGGATCCGAATAAGAAATCTGTTGAAAATTTTAAATCACCTTTGAACAAAACATAAGTTGTACCAATTCCGTGGCACTACTGATAGTTTTTCCAATGACCTAGCGCATATTATATTTACGAATATTATAATGACATCTTGTATTTTCACGCCGTCTGTAATAAACATATTAGGTTTGCACAATAATCAAAATACTTACTTCCATATTAATCGATCATTACCATTTTTATTAACATGGACGTAAGATTTTTTTTCGAAAAATAAAAATATTTTCTGCTCTGAAAATCTATTTTAGTTTTGCGGGTTATTATAAATATAAACCGACTTCAAAACCCAAAAGGTGGAGGTTATATCTTTGACGGCGTTGTACGTTGTTTCATGTATGTTCATTGATAATTGCGCTAATTGTTGACTGATTTTAAATTTTTTTGTTTTGATCCGACAGCTTGATGAACCGAGGTGGTCTCATTTAATTTTTATCAAATCAGTATTTTCCTTTTATAAAAAAAACTAAATACGTTTTCATGTATCTCAGCTAAAAAACAATAGAATGCGTATTTTGAAATTGTTCAAAATCCGAAAGGAGGATTTTCTATGTTCATGGAGTATGTATATTTTATATGAAAGTAAGTATGTCAATCCACTTCTTGAATTGTGAACCAAATTCTTTCAAACTAGCTGTTTCTGTAGCTTTTACAAATCGGTTCAATAGTTTCGGAGCCCTAATAGCATTTTCTTGAATAAGTCGCTTTTGAGATAAGTATTATTGATTACTTTTAAAAGTTTGAAGTTGTTTTCATGCTTTTGTTTGTTTTCTAGCGTCAATATAATCTAAGCTATGAACTGATTTATTGGGTGTTGATTCTTGCCTCTTATTTGTGGTGTTAATTCTTAACCTACGCTTAAAGCCGAAGTGGTCTCAGGATTTAGAAAGTGCTAACCACAAGACAAACACTGCGGCCCATACTCGCCACATTCCAGCAACGCATTCCTCTTCCTGTTTCATGTTTGACTATACACTAATAACTATTTAGAGAGACATTTGCCTCATCAAAGCATTCTCTGGTGACTACTATTGAATTTAATAGAACTTACCTACAAATAATATTTAGTAGCGTATTGAAAGTTCACCTTCAACTTTGTTTTATGACAATATATCGTTTAGTGTTACTAATATGACATGTCTTTTATTGGTCTTTTGGTGAATGATCTGTTCTGGTCATACAAGTGGATCATACAGTCGTATTATTGTTATTGAAATACGTAGGTACTACCCAATTATATCATAACAAAAGATTGCAGAAAACTGTTACCTACTTTAATATTATCATTTGAGAAATAAAAACAAATAAGAATATAATATAATATAATGTAAACATGATAAGTTTTTAAGAGCAACATTAAGATAGAGCATCATTATATAGTTCGAAGTATAATAATCGGTATGAAAATCAAAGGTCAATCGGTAAAGAATAATTCTCAATTTGGATCGTAAGCCCATCACGGACGTCTTGTAAGGTTTACGATAGTTCTAAGTGAAACAAACGGCCCAACGGACCCAGCTCGCGACACTACCAATCGATTACACTTTATTGTTCACAGTGAAATATTTGCGAAGGTCGCGCCAAATGTCACGATTTCCCAATATGATATAGGGTCTACACGACGTTGTATACTTTAGAATTTTTGTTCAAATAGTGGTCGGGCGACTTTTTAGGGTTAATTAAGGATTTATTATGTGTTGTGCCACTAACTTAAATTATTTTTATACAAAGTATAATAAAACCGAATCCATCAGAAATGACTATTAAAACTTTCATAGTATAACCGCTGGGCCGATTGTGATGAAATTATTTATAAATATAGTTTTGCAACATCAATAATATACTCTAAAATTACATGGTCGGGTTTAAGATTAAAGTTAATTTAATAAATATTGTTTTTAATTGTGAAATAAAGTTAATATATCGGATTAAATAAAACTATTTGTCATCCAAACTGATTTGATATTTATAATAATAGTTTGATATTTTTGTATGCAAGGATATGTCAAGCGAATGGAACGGTAGAATGTGTTAATTAAACTCTTATCTAATTGTACCCTTGACAAAATATGAAATTCACTTAAAACGTTACACCGCAATTACTTAATTAAGTCTTCCTAAAAGGCTCTTAAGTAAGAAATTCAAGTCTAATAGAATTAAAAACGTCCTTATTCTGGTAAAAATTAATAATAAATTTCCCTTAAGATCTTCTGGCGAAATTAGATTTCATTAATTTTTATAGAAAGTGGAGATGAGGTGGATCTTAATTAAATATATAAAAATGGTACAGTTCCCGGAAATATTTTGATGGTTTTATTTCAAGTTTACGAAAATTTGTTAATTATTTCAAGCAAATAAAAAATAAGTTTATCGGGAAAATATATATATATTTTTTTTAATTCACGTAGTGGACCCGTTTCAATGTTTTATTATAATAATCAGAGAGACAACCCTAATCCACTTTTTGTGTTTCCTTCC